AGCAGAATATTCAGGTAATGGGATTATTGGGAAGGGGGTGTGATCAGATCAGGTGGGCTGAAAGTAGCCTATATAACAAAGTGTTTTTTATTCAGTGTAAGGAATGAGTTAAAGGGACATTGTTGGAATCCGAATCATTTCATCTTATTTAACCTCATGTTCAGTGTTATTATTATTAGCATCTTTACAATCATAAAATGGGGATATTTGACTCTTAATTATAATATATTATTTTACTAGCTACAAGGGGTAGAGTATTGCCAAGCTACTGATAAAACTAATGGCTATGGTGCAATGAGTTTTTTTTGTCAAACTGTTTTGCTTATGGTCCCTGTGATGCCCCTGTAATAATGCGGATGATAGTGATGCACCCCGGGTACGATTGCAATAAGTAAAAATAAATAAGTTTTACCTACCTTTTTCCAGCTTTCCTATGGGGACTTCCACATCACGTGGCAGTGTTTTACTCAGTATGCGTAGAGGTAGATAATAAATAAACGTGCAATGTGTGTAACATTACAGGTATAAAAATTTAGGACCACTGCACTCAGATCACTTCATTAAGATGAAATAGTCTAGGTGACTATAGTGTCCATTTTGCTGTGAAAACCAGTGGTGGTTTAGAACAAGCAGAATGTTCACAGTGGTCACCATCTAGCTCTCACAGACAAATAACTCCTTACATACACCATACAGATTTTTGTCAATTTATACTATATTAACAAATTCAAACCATGCAAAATTATATTTAGTGTCAATGCCAAGAATAGCAAATATTTATACTGATGCTTAAAATGTAAGCAAGGGCATAATAATGATAGGAGAAAATAGTTTGGAAAATGGGCATCACAGAGGGGATATGATAGCATTGTATAAATATATTCCGGGCCAATACAAACCATTGTCTGGAAATCTATTCATAAACAGAACTATACATAGGATACGAGGTCACGTGTTTAGACTGAAAGAAAGGAGTCTAAGGCATGACATATGCATACCGCTTTTTCACCATATGCGTTACCAACCCAAAAACCCCAAGGATACTCAGGCACCTTAATTTTGGGAAAATGATCACAGCTTTAATAATACAATTAAACATTGCATATCAACCCCAAATCCTTTAACAATTGTAAACTCTCTTAGAACTGGGCAAACAACCTACACTCCAACTTGTCTATCCATCCCCCGCCACTGTAACCAAATTGGAGTTAGAACCATAACAAACGGAGGGTGGGACAAAACAGCTAAGTGAGGATTAAATTAACATGGCCCCTGATGTAAAATGACCACTATATATACTCCCATAGCCAAAACCCCACCCCCCACTTTCTTTAGCCAAACCCCCACACTAAACACCTCCTATGCCTGTGTCCTAGCCATGTCAAGGCCCATTCCACTTAGCTGCGCTGCTCCATGGGCTACATGACATTTGCATAGTCACCTTTTCAGCATATGCATTACCAACTCCCAAACCCCAAGGATACTCAGACACCTTACTTTTGGGAAAATGATCACAGCTTTAATAATACAATAAAACATATATATTATAAAAAGGTCATTGTCAACATCCTTAAACATTGCATATTAACCTCAAATCTTTTAACAATTCTACCAGACAATGACCCACATAAACAATCCATGATACCACATTCTAACATATAATTTAACATATAACCACATAAACCATTGCCACCGGGGGCATGATTTACCATATTCCACAATGTAGGGGTATACCTGAGATACACCCTACACACACCAGTTTCGAAACTACCAACGAGCTCGAACCAACCAATATCCTTCCAAACCTAACTGTTCTTAGCGAACTAAACTCTCTTAGAATGACCTACATCCCAACTTGTCTATCCATCCCCCGCCACAGCTCAAAGTTTGACTTCTCAAACTACTTGAGGGCCCCCACCAAACAATGCCCGTAGCAACCCTTCCTGAAACTCTAGCAACAAAATTCACACTGTCTGAAAGATGCACTCCATGCTACCAGTAATAACCCGAAAGCTGAGCTTCAGACTCTCTGTGCCGAACGACTATCCCTACCTGTCTAGCATACGTAGCCAGCAACTTAGTCACCTTCTTCTGCTCTCTACCACTGTCCAGGTATCCCTGAAATGATGCCACTGGAACCGTGGGACCATCTCAGACCATATGACAACCACGTCAGGGATCCCCTGTCTCCCCCCTTCCAAATCCCTTTTTGCAGCCCAGTAGAGAAATCCCTTTGTGAAACCAGACCCAAGTCATACCCCCCTGCATGAATCAAAACTACATTAGGCACTTGCCCAGACACTAATCTTCCTGAAAAGCTATTGCCAACTGGTCCCCCTTGAACCAAGCACACAAGTTTCGCCAATGAGCTCAGATAGCCCAGCTGCATGTCATGACGACAAACTGGGGCTCTCCTGCGTGCCCAATACACATATGAGTGTTCCAGCAACAAAGCAGTCCACCTACGGGAGAATGTTAATAATTAACAGAAATAATCAACCCCCAACCAATACCTAAACTAAATGGCTGGGCCTCACACATGACTTGAATCTTACCGATTCCCATCAACCCATCTTGTTAGTGCCGGATCATCCCCTAGACCCAGCCTATATGCCTCCGTCGCAGCTCCAATCCTGAACTGCAACGGAACCAAACCCATGCGCCCCAAGGCCAACCCAAAGACCTTACGGAACTGAAACTTCGACAATGAAGAACCATTGGCAGCCAACAAAAAAGAACCGCCTATCCCACACGGACTGACTGAAAAGCCAACATACAGTACACCGGGCAGGCCACCAACTCCAGTTCAGAAAAGTGAAACTGCAGAACCGTTTCCAATGTCAGTCAGTTTTGGACCGGTGGAAACCAATTACATCCCGATACTGCCAATCACCACATCATAAACCATAATCACCCGAACAGTTGCTGCTGAGCGACTCACTAAGCCGAAATGCCCCAGCTAGAGCCCAACTAAACGCCACCGAAAACCACACAACTCCGTACCCTGAAAAAATAGCACCAAGAAGTGCACCCAGCAAATCCTTTAATAGCCTGATGCACAAGGAAAGGTTTAGTCAACTCCTCCCCACCATTAAGCTTAAACAGAAAAACCCAAATCTTCATTATGCACGATCTCAAATGGGGACGCCATATCAACAAGAACCGCCAAAGGAACAACAACAAAGTGTTGCCTCTGCACCGTCCCGGTCGTTCTAAATCATAACGTAGGCCGTCCAAGCTGGACATTGCCAACGACCCCCTTATGAGTTCGTCAAGCAAGATGACCCAATCTACCACACATCTCCGGCCATAGCACACCCCCCTCCTGCACGCCCAGGGCCACCTCCCAAAACCGCTTCTCTGGAACAAAAGAAAGTGAAGCAGCTACTACATTCCATAACCCGGGCACCTGATGCGCACGGAACACAACCTGAAACTGCCAGCAAAAATAACGAAACAGGGAAGCAGAGAAATGACAGGAATAACAGATGCAGCTAAACCTTTAACAGCCTCAACCACAGACACGTCACCGATAAAGAATATAACCTTTCTGTCCTGCAACAAGGGACCCCCCAAAGCCAATGCCACCACCAATGGAAAATTCCCAAACGACATAATGCGAAAAAGTGAGTTGGACATCCACTTATCCGGCCACGTTCCCACACCCCACTGGCCAATGAATTATGCCCCAAACTCCATACTCAGCTCAACCCGATCCGTGAATTTTCCAAAGTACGCACATGAGACGGAATACTCCATCGGCAGACATATAGCAACAAAATATTGTCCAACTCAATTTCATGGAGGTCTATTAATAAACAGCTTACAAAAGCTGCAGATGTCTTGGATCCAACCATTGCAAGCCATCACTTTCTTTTGCAGCCTAAACATTCCAATCATAAACAGTGTACCTCAATGAGAAGTATTTGCAAGGCTAAAGTTCTGGGCACTTGCCTGTCTCTTTCTCTTAAGCTAAACACCCAGGAAGTAAAAAGACTGGGTAAGGGTAACAGCCAGGGTTGTAACTAGGTTTGTGACGAAGTGCCCTTCGCCACTTGGTCCTGGAGAGGCCTACTTGCCAGCCTCCTCCCCTGTGACTATGACTCTTTCATGTATCTGGCTTTAAAGCCGCTGGTCTACCTTCAGACAGACGATTTATGTAGGCTGCTTTATTTATCTTATTAAAGTTCATTGCAAAATTTAATAATCATTAATTAATTGGTGTAATTCATTAGTTATGAACCACTGCAAGGTTGGAAAAATTAATGATATATACACACACACTTCAATTGATAATATGTACAAACTGATGTAAACCAATATAGTTTGGTAGAAACAATGTATTTTTAATCTACTGTTATAACTCTATGTTAATTGAAGAGAGTCCCTGACCACATCAAGAGGTTAAGCACTGAGTTGCTGTATCTGGAAGTCCAAACAGCTGTAGTCATCCAGGAGAGTAGGAAAAATAAACAAAGGAAAAAAGAAAAAAATGTGTAAAAAGTGAAAAAATATATGAAAAAATATATATATATACAAAAAAGCAAAAAATGAAGAATAAAGTATATACAGTCCCAGTGTGCACACACTATGTTGTAAAATGGATGGATCTCACCAATAGAAGAAAAGAGTCCAGTTATCCAATTCTTTGTGTTTCTTAGTGCAAAGGTGAGATCGCTATAATTGGTGTCAGATCATTCTTCCTTAGCTTTCAGGAAAACTGTATATCAGAGAAGATTCCCCACTTGTCCTGGGAGTGTTCGAATAAATACTTCTTGTCAGCTGGTCCTGGGTCTCATAAACGGGCTGCGCGCTCGGGATCTATTCACATCCCTTCAATGGCCCTGTCTCTCTGACAGGGCCATTGAAGGGATGTGAATAGATCCCGAATAAAAAAGTGTTCGAATAAATACTTCTGAAGGGATGTGAATAGATCCCGAATAAAAAAGTGTTCGAATAAATACTTCTTGTCAGCTGGTCCTGGGTCTCATAAACGGGCTGCGCGCTCGGGATCTATTCACATCCCTTCAATGGCCCTGTCTCTCTGACAGGGCCATTGAAGGGATGTGAATAGATCCCGAGCGCGCAGCCCGTTTATGAGACCCAGGACCAGCTGACAAGAAGTATTTATTCGAACACTCCCAGGACAAGTGGGGAATCTTCTCTGATATACAGTTTTCCTGAAAGCTAAGGAAGAATGATCTGACACCAATTATAGTGCTCACCTTTGCACAAGAAACACAAAGAATTGGATTCTGGACCATTTTCTTCTATTGGTGAGATGTGTGCACATTTTACAACATAGTGCACACTGCCATTTTGCTTTTTTGTATATATATATATTTTTTCATATATTTTTTCACTTTTTACACATTTTTTTCTTTTTTCCTTTGTTTATTTTTCCTACTCTCCTGGATGACTACAGCTGTTTGGACTTCCAGATACAGCAACTCAGTGCTTAACCTCTTGATGTGGTCAGGGACTCTCTTCAATTAACATAGAGTTATAACAGTAGATTAAAAATACATTGTTTCTACCAAACTATATTGGTTTACATCAGTTTGTACATATTATCAATTGAAGTGTGTGTGTATATATCATTAATTTTTCCAACCTTGCAGTGGTTCATAACTAATGAATTACACCAATTAATTAATGATTATTAAATTTTGCAATGAACTTTATTTCGATTTTTTGAGTGCAGTATCATTATTTGTTGTATTTTGTAGATTTTGAGGTATTTTTGGCCACCTCGATACTTTGCACCAACACGGATAAAAGAGTGCCTGTACACAGCTAATTTTTTTATTTATCTTATGTTTTAGTCACCCTGTACCCATTATAGGTGCAGGGTGTGTGTTATGTAATTGTTTATAGTGTGTGTGTGTACTGTGTAATGTATTGCCTGCTCTCTTGTATTGCTGAGGTTTGCTACCAACTAGGTGGGTTTGGCTATGGAGCTTGTCTAGTGCCCTCTGTTGGTAGCAACAGCAATATGCACTACCTGAATTGCAAGACTGGTTCATTTGCATATTCAGGTAGATTTGCATATTGCTAATTCTGCAGGCAGGTGAGATATTTACTGTTAAATATTGTCTCCCCCCACCCCTTTAAAAATGTGCCATTGTGTTGTGATAAGTCACTGTGTGTTGCTTGATATGGTTTGACTGTTTGTGATTTTATTGAGGTTTCACAACAATGTTATTGTGGTGACCCTATTGGCTGGTCCCAAGGGAATAAAGGTTTTGACAGTTCTTCTTGATCCCTCTAAATGTAGCCTTGTCTCGTTATTGGAGGGAGCTGTTATAATCACACTGGGGATTGCTATGCTCTGCATGCTCCCCTGAGCTTGAGTCACTTAGCTCTTTTAAGAGCTTGTTCCTGACACGCTCTCCTTGGAGGAGGGGTCTTCACCACACAGTCCTGGATGCTGGAGGTTCATACAGGGTGGAAGGAAGAGTTCTTTCCCACACAGTCCTGGAGGACAGAAGCTGATCCAGGGTGGAAGGAAGACGGCGAGACTCCAGTCAAGATACGGCGGTTGCGGAGTCTGCGGTGGTTGTGGTGTCTGCTGCACTGCTTGGAGTCCTCAGGAAGCGCTAGGAGCATCCGTCAACGGAGGGTACTCAGTCAGAGTACAAGGAGCTCCGTTACAAGGTTGATTTATAAAAGTGTTAATTTGTTTTGAAATCTGAAATCACGTTTTGTAATATGAAAAAAGAGGAAACACTCTTCACACATAAAGCACTTCAGGAAACTAAAGTGCTTTTGGTGTGTGGAGTGTTCCTTAAACTATTTTCTTGCTGGCTTCTAATGCTGCCAGGTGGCAAATAGTAAAAAAATAAATAAAAAAGAAGCATGTGATGAGGCCATTTATCGGATGTAGGTATAGGTTTCAGTACTTATCTGCTCCCTTTAACAGCATTAATAAAATCAATCCAAATCCATAAATGTTGTTTAAACTGCTGATAAAAACCATCAGCTCTAATTAAATGGAGGCCTAAGTAATAGAGTGATTGACAACTTGTTATGCTTAGTAATTAGAAGAACCCTTCATCCTGCTTAGCTTCAAGTCAACCAGAGTAAATGTACCACAAAGTGCTGTGCTCTGTAGTTGGGATTCAAGTTCTTCCTCTGAGCTACTGGAAAAGCACATGCAGCTATTCAAATACCTTCAGGAGATTAGGATTAATGATCCCAGCAAAAATTCCACCCTTCTTAGTATGAGACTTCCCAGGAGAGGTGACCGGTATCTCAGCTGCAGGTGAACCCTCTGGAGAGGTCTCCTCTTTCTCTTCACTGTCTGATTCTTTCTCAGGGCAATTTTCTATGAGACAATTCCATAATGAATATATACAGGAAATAAAAATAAAAATAGATATTAAAAGAGATATTATAAAGAAAAGAAAAAACATAAAACAAACATGGAAAAATAATAGATATTAAAAGAGATATTATTAAAAATAACATAAAACAAAATAAAGCTGCAAGAAAGACTTGAGAGACAGAGATTGACCAGGAGGAATCTAAACCTCTACAAATGTGTTATTTAGTTACCTGTGGAATCTCTAAAAAGCCAGTATTCTGGATCAATATTTTCTTCATTGGTACAAGGTAACTGTGGTGGGGTGCGATGGCACCTTTTTTTACCCAGAGAAGCTCTACATCTCATGAAGGCTGTATCCAAAACCTCTGTACCCTGTTCAAGAAAGTAGCTGATGAGTATTGTTTCCAGGTCAAGACAAAGTGCTATGCTCAGGAATAAAAATACAGAAAAGCTTTGCACTCGAACGTTAACTATTCTTTTGAATTAGCAATAAATATAGTATTCATTAGCCTATATGAATAAACAACAAAAAAATATATAAATAGTTACCTGCTCCCATTGATTGCAATGGTACTAAAAACCTGTTATTTAAATGCAGGTAACTATTTTTGTTTTGTTATCATCCGGATTTGTATGCTGAATATGCTAAAATGCTAATTAGTGACATATTTCTTATATACATATTAAGCCTGTCCTATTGTGTTTTATACCCGACCTCCTCTAGACTGTAAGCTCGTTTGAGCATGGTCCTCTTCAACCTATTGTTACTGTAAATTTTCATAATTGTCTCATTTATTATTAAATCTCCCCCTATGATAATATTGTAAACCAATAATAATTAGCTTGACCAAATAACTACTTTCACATCAGCATATGGACAACATCGATTGGTTGGTTGGTTAACATCAGCTGATGTCCAAATTTGAAAAAAATAAAATAAACATCTGCATTAGTAGTCTGTCAAGTGTGGTGCTGGGCCATAGTGGCTTTAGTACCCACGGTTTGTGTCAAACCACTAAAAAACTGCGTGACACAGATCTAAGGAATGGAGCTGACAGCCTCCTAGCACCATAACCACTAATCATGCTGAAATGGTTATGGTACTTAAGAGTTTTCCTTTAAAGTAAAACCCAATTTGAGACAATTTTCTTTTTAGCAGAAAATGCTCAAAGCTGGTAAATCACCTGAATAATTGACAATAGCCCGGGCTTGATCAGTAAATATCTGTATATTGCTTTTCTTAATCTAAAATATATATATTTTTTTTGTATGTGGTGCAGGTACAAACCTCTAAAAATCCAAAATCATATGGTTGAGTACATTCTGACTGGTCTTCTTCATCTTCCTTTTCCAGGTGTTGTATCTCATTTTGTGAGCCTTCGGATTCAGTCTTTTTATGGTGTGCTTCTGCTGATTCAATACCTAATTGTTGTGACTTTTCTGAATCTCTTTGGCTTTCCTCTTTGTCTTGCAACTCTTCTGAATGAAGGTTCTCTAATGTTTTCAAATGAACAGCTGTATTCAGTTCTTGTGATTTGGTATCGTCGCTCCTGAAATCATGTAAATTCATTGTATTGCAAGGCTTCCCTTCCTGTGAATCTGTTTCATGCTGTTGCTGCTCCTGTAGTTTGTTATACATATCGTTCACTTCCCGTGAAAGATCATCACAATCTTGCACTTCAAGTGAATGGTCATCACTACACTGCACTTGTAAATGGTCTGTTACCTGTGATTGGTACTCTCTACTTTGCACCTCTTGTGTTTGGTTGTCTATGTGCGGCACTGTCTCTAAATCAGTATTCCTGTGCTGAAGTTGTACATCAGTGTAATGCAGATCTTCTGGTTGCATGTCACTCTGCTGCAGTACAATTTGGTTCTGTGGTACTTGTAAATCCGTATTTCTAGTCAATGATTTCACTGGTTCATAATCTAATATTGTAGACTCGTCTGGCTTCATGTATCTGTCTTGTGGATGGTCAAGATGATCTTTATTCAGAGAAGTTATCTCAGATTGGGTATCCATATTTTGTGGCTTGCATTGTTCACTATCTGTTTCATATGGTTTGAATTCCAAGGATTTGTAATGTGGTCCCTCTGATTCACCGTGTATGACGTCTGGCTTTTCAGATTCCATATATTTAGAGTAGGTTCCTTCCAAGTCACTCTCTCTGCTCTGTGGTGTATCTGTATCAAAATGTAAGTGTGTGAGGTTCAATTCAGAATATCTAAGTTGTCTTCCTTCTGTAATTTGTGAGTTGTCAACTTCAGGATGTGTGCATTGGGTTATTTTTGGATTAGTTGACTGGGCATCCCTATGTTCTGTTTCATCTGATTTAAAATCTGCTTGCAGGAATTCATCAGAAATTGATGTTAAGTTACACAGCTCCTCTAATTGAGTTGATCTGTGGAGTGGCTCCTCGCATTGAGTAATTTCATAGTGTATTTTTCCTGGCTGAGAATGCCTGTCATCCTGGTCTTTTGATTGTGTTTCTAGTCTGTACTGTTGCTCCTCTGAAAGTGTAACATATTCAACATATTTATGTTCCCGGACATCTGATGTAGTGTTAAAATATGTTGGTGGTTCTTTTTCAACAAATATATTTGAATCATAAATTTCCTTTGCAAATTTCTGACCAATATCAGAGCTTATGTTGCTGTGATCATACAAATTTGTAGAGAAAGGGGCAGCTTTGCTCAGTATATTTTCTGATCTAATGGAAATAGATTAAAGAAAACATTTAATAATTACTTTCAGTGGTGTTACATG